CCTTATGACGCTGTAAGGGCTGCGTATCCCACAAAAAGTCGCAGACGGGGATAGAATGACCAATAGGATAGCAATAGGATTTTACTTCTGCCTCTAGCTTCATTGCCATGTCTTTTTCGAGCTCTTATTTTATGGCAGACCCACCCACCTCGCGCACGAGGAGAATCCACCTCTCTGGTTATCGTACAGAGTGTCTTCAAGGCGGCTTTCAAACTTCGCGATGACGCGCGTCGACGTGTCATCGCGCGCGACTATAGACTGTTATCGATCGGCGCCATTCGAGAGTATGGGAGAACAGGAAGAGACACATTCTTTGGTTTCTCAGATGGGTGCCCTCCTGCTGCGTTCCTGTCTATCCTAGCATTGGAGCGCGTCGACGCATGTCATCGCTAAGTCTGAACGCTGCCCAAACTGCTATCTCTTGAGAATCAATCCCAACGACTGCACGAAATCGTCCTGCCTGTTTCCACAGATATCCAAGGAATAGGGAGCTATATACACCAATACATGAGGTTTGCCGGAGAGTTTTGGTGGGATTTCTCTTGGTAAACTTCCAAAGTACTTAACTAGCTATATTATGAAAGATAATAATTCTGCGAGAAACACGGCCGACCTTAATAAAAGCGTTGGCGGCATTCTTGACATTGTTCCGTGATATGGAGGAGAACATGTCTTTGTATTCTTCAAGCGCTTTTTTAGCCGCATTCATTTGCGCCAGATGTACCGTACATGCCTCACCAACAGCCAGACGCATATTTCTGAAAGTTTGTTAAACACTGAGGACATTCCAGAGGATGAAAAAACACTTCTGCTTCGATCACAACAGAAAACAAATAGAAACTGGGAGGAACCTGAAATAAACAGCGACGCGGTAATGACGTGCATTCGTTGAACCTTCAATGCCAATAGTTCTATATTCCGGCATTTCTGGAGCAGAAGAGTCACCAGCATCCAATTCTCGCATTGCTAGGCAACACTGTTGCAGCTGTGACTTGGAATCATTCCATTTCTTTGACTCGATGAAGTGCTGGAATAAAAAAAATCTATGAAACAGACAAAGTGGAGTTTCAGACGTGAAACCTCACATTTTGAGTGTTTTCAACGCTTGATTGGAAAGAAGTATGAAATTTATCTCTAACAGCTTTTGAGGGGGAATTGGAGCAAACGCTCCTCAGAAAGAAGTCTCAGTCAGTCGTAAAGACTAGTGTTGACGGGAAAACGACACGAATTGAAAGTACATTCCACAATAGCAGGATGTTAGTATCCCCAAGGGTAGACAACCTTAATTCGCAAGCTCCTAATGTTCACCCACAATGGTAAAAGCTGCGCGTCTTCGGTTGCGAATCTGTACACATTCGATCTTCAGTCCTGTTCGCTGCGGATGATGGGGTGTGTCAAAGGGCATTGGGTTTGGTACGCCCCCAGCTCGTTCTTTTTTCTTTCGGCAAGCGACAAAATGTATTGGGCAAGAAGTATAAAATGTTTGTCGTTCGTTCTCCTCTAGATGTTGTCACTTACTCGCTTCAACAACTAGAGGAGTTGGGCTGGTGGCGCGCAAAACCCTGTCTCACTGACACGGCCATTTATCTGCGGCCAAGAGTATATGGAACGAGGGGCTGCAGCTCATGCTCTCGCCGGCTGCACCCTTGAGCGGGAATGAGAATAGTAGCCCGGTTACGTTACATCTTGAACTTTTGCACGGTCCCGTTGCGAAAGCAAAAACGCAAACAGGCAGAGAACAGCGTCTTACAAAGCATCAACAAGTGCAAGAAACAAGGCGAGGCAGAAAACGAGCTCTTTCAAAGGGAAGGGACTCCGGGGTGGGTGAGCCACTCACAGCTGGGATTTGCGAGGCTCATCATGACTATAGAGTGCGAACGAGAGAGAGCAGCAGAAAAACAACCACATAATTCGACGCGCAAAAAAACGTAAGGTCAAGTTGTCCGTAGACCATTAGCAGCGCGTGATGTTTAGTCAGCGCCTCCCCATCTCGACTACTCACATCAGCAATAGGTGGACAGGAACAACTCGAATAGAAAATGGTATCAGGTGGCGATCCCTGAGGCAAAACCATGGGCAATCTGCTCAAGATAAAACCACCACAGCGTCAACCTCACTCTCGGTGTGGACTAGCCACGTCATAGAGTTTCGGACGTGAAAACTTGGTACGAACTCTAGCAAGTCATAAATTTCGACAGCAACTCACTTGTGAGCGCATTGAAATGGAAGCAGAATATAGATGAAGCTCACGCAGTAGTTCCATCTCACGATCAACAAAATCGCACCAAGAATGAGCTGAATTAATTGAGTTGAGCACAAGGTTCTCAGCTGCGAAAAATCAAGATGCAATAAATATGCCCCTGAGGTATTCAATGCTATCCTGGTGGGAAGGAGAGTCGTGGGGAATCAAGATAAAATGTGACGAGTTTTGGAAAAAGCGCTTAGATGTGGGCGAAACTCGTATCGGCGAAAACCTGAGTAGAGATCTCGCATAAATTTAACGGTGCTGCTTGGGAGGGTCATTTTGCTCTAATACTAGCTCGTTCTGCCAATTTGTATTAACTAACAGGTCTCATTTTGGTGAGACCTCTAAGTTATGAAGTGCAGAACGGTACAGGTGAGCCTCTTTGGTTACAGGGATCAGATTTTTACGGGCTGATCTGTACAGACTTCGCTGAGTAACATTTGGTGCACCCACCAATTTCCCTTTTTTAAAATTACTTGCACAGGCATCAAAGGTGAAAAGGTAAAGATCATTCAAAGAAAAGCGTACACAGCTCACCTTCAACTAAATCGGCTTTATCTTTCAGACTCAGATCCGGCAAACGTAAACCGCTTCCAGGCGGATGTATTATGAAGCAGTGAAGACCGAGATCCTCGCAAATTTGAGACTAAATAGCTCACGTCAGTCGCCGTCGATTCATACCCACCTAAGTGGCCAAAAACATTGGTACTATGGTTGAAGAGAGCAACACGTCGGTGCCACTAACAACCACTAACGCTGTTCATGTAGCCCAACGGCGCGACCAATCCGTTTCTCTGCACCCCCTCTTCAAAATGGTGATCCTTCCCAGATCGCTTTGCGAACAGCGCAGATGATCAGAGACTGCACAGAGTCAGTGCGGTGTGGCCTGTAAATCTACCAAGGGACACGCCGACTCTGATCGCCTGCGAGCCCAAGACCTATAGAGGTTGCAGAGAAACAAGATTAGTGGCGCCGCGTTCTACGGACCACTTGAACCCAACCCTTGGAATCGCGTCAATTTTCTGTGTCCTCCTACATTCTTCTGTCTGCATAGCGTTCTGCAACCACTGTGATCTTACATTCCTGCTCTTCACCACGGTAATTGGCTCATTCATCTCAAAGCCCCCTTGAAGAAGCCCTTCACTGACTCTTCATAAGCTTTTGTACCTTTCGATGTTTCAGCAGCAGTTGTCTTTAATCAGTGTATGTCAGTTCAGGGTTTCGCAACAGGACCATGCAGAAATTTTCTGTGAAGTCAACCGCCATGTGGCGCTCGTCAACTACGGTAGAGCCGCTGCCATCTCCGCGTTCATAGTTCGCGAGTCAATCGCGCAATTTGAGAATCGAGGGACCTTCACTGATCGTGCTACACCGCTGACCGTTGAACGGCTGCAAGTATCAATTCAATCAGTACGAGATGGAACCTCTGCTAGGTCGCGCAGAGATCCGATTATTAGCAGTGGAGCGCAATCGGTCGAAGTCGCTCGATGGAATCTTTTCAGTCGCGAAGTATGAACGCATCCTTGGACTGCGTAACATAACCTGGGCTTTGTCGCAAAGTTACCTGGGTCTCATTGCAAACAAGACAGGTTCGCAAAAGTGATAGATGTCCTTCATGATGGTTCGGGAAATGATGATAAAGATAATTAGAAATCACAAGCTGTAGCACAGCATCTCCAAGCCACTCCAAACGCTGATTATTACCGCTGAAAAGTATCAATACAATAAAAAATGTGAAATTTGAAAAAGTTCAACCTACCATGTGAGCGTGTTATATGGCACGTTTCTCCGTGTGAGTGCTTTGGCGAGCAAGCGAATATTCTGAAAGCGGAATCCAAGGATATCCTCGAGATCGGTGAGTTCAAGCAGTTCGTCAGTATCGTCAATAATCATTCTATCACCATTGGGTTGCTCGACCTGATTTAAAAGCGATGAGGAGGTTATTACCATTTCGCGAAGCAACATGCGCAATGGCAGAAGCTTGACGCTCTACCTTGACAGGAGTCTACAATTCTCAACAAGGCATGACGGGTAATCCTAAAGAAACTAGCGAGAGGAACCTGCGAAAGGAAAAATGCCTCTTCCAGGCCGAACAGCGAAAGTAAATCAATTAGATACCTTGAGAGGATGTTCAGGGACATTGAGCCAGTGATCCTTTACAGCAGGGTCATCGCCAAACATTGCATCGGCAAATATACTGGAACAAACCGAGTTAACTCAAATATTCCTTCGAAAAAAAAAAGAAAGGCTGTCGAGATAAGAAGGAAATAACGGCTTATCATGCCAATTTTCCCCCCACTCTTTCCTGTTTTTTTTACATTCACACCTTTAACTACTCTGGCATCCACAGATGATTCCCATCGAAACGCGAGCCCGCTTGCCTTACTCCATAGCCTTTCATTAGCACCCTCGCTCGTTTTTCTGACCGCGCACTTCCGCTTTCGTTTTACTGTTGAAACTAAACGTTTTAACATAATAACAACTCGTTCGTCGAAATTATCACCAAAAATGAAGGCCACAAACTCGTAGGTGGAGCGTTCAAATACCCAACACTCTAGGCGCTGAACTACGCCTCAAAGGTGCGATAAGTGTTACAGTTCATAACCTCCAATCAGTATAACTCTCACACATACAATCATATTAATAACGAAATAAGCAGAGGTGTCTAGCGTTACTTCGGAGTCGTGGCAAATGCGAAGTATTAGGCGCTGCCTCTGCCCGCAGGCAACGCCTAATTCCCCGCATTTACTGCGCGCGGCATTCGCACCAAGACCAACCCACTCAACGTGTAAGTGCCGCGGCGCGTCGCCTCTCTCTGCCCCTGCGTCTCTTGAGTAGACTAGCTCTTTCTGTGCCTGTGTTTGTCAAGTCAACTAGCTACAAATATTCTGCTTGTGCCTGCGATGCCTCGATTCGGATCGTAATGTGCCCCTAATGTGCCCCTCCCAAAACGAAGAGCACTAATTTTCCATTATGTGGTTGGAAATTACCGATCACACTCCTCGATTCCTCCGTCCAAATAGATAGCAGCAAGGACAGCCTCAAATGTATTGGCCAACGATTTCCTAAAATCTTCCTCGTCGCATAAATCGATTCCATGAGCATACATCATCCAGTCACCTAGTCGCAATTTCTGAAATCTTTGCTGATGAGTAGGAAAATACAATCGTAAGAAGATATCGATCCACCTTTCCTAACGCGGCAAGGTTACGATTCTGAACAAGTGCACTACGGTAGGTGGCCAGACCACCCTCTTCCTGATGAGGAAGGATAAAGAACAGACGGCTCGAGACTATCTGAAATCAAAAACCATTTCCTCAAAAGGAGACTGAGTCATGCTTCTGTGAAACTTTACCAGTTCCACCACGGCATCACCCAAATACTCCAGCCTTTCATTATGTGCCACTTTGGACAGGCCCGCAGTACTTGATCCCGATTGTGACATTATATGCATTAGATTGCGGAACCCTTAAAAAGAAGTTATTGCACCAGAACATCAGGAAAGCTCACTGCTTCGGACCTACCTTTCTTTTTCTCGTTATTTTCGGTGAACGGAGCATAACGTCGGAACAAACAATTGGTGAGCGTCGTTTTGATATGATCCACATTTATACCTGAAGTAAATACTCTCTTAATGAGGCCGCGTCCATGCTTCGCCACTCGAACGGTTCAATCGCGCAGGTGCGTCCGAAGCGCTCCAGCAGCGGTAATCGTTGGACCACTGCAACGACTGAAAAAGCTCTTTACTATATGTGATTAAATTTGCTGTTACAGCGGTCCAGCGACTAGCGGTGGAGTGCGGTCCGTCACAGTTGCGAATCACAAATGACGCGACTGAATCTACCGACTCGTGGGTTATGAACGCAGTCCGAGATAGCGGCGTTGATAGTAATATGAGAGCCCTGAAGTTTTATATGACGTCATCCGAACAGAAGCGCCGTACTTGATAGGTTTGGGCAAGAAAAAAAAACTTGTCTCCACGACGGTAGCACTTCAAATGCCCCCTCCAAGAGTATCAGCGCCATGACAGCTAAAGAAATCCAGCAACAGACATACCGAAATCATTCTTATAGGATGGATGAGTGAAGGCAAGCTCAATTAAGCTGCGATTTGCAAACTTGTAGTCGATGATCTTTTCAAACTCCTGCAATAACCAAATGAGAAACAGACGAAAATAGATGAAGTTCATATCTCAGCGTTGGAGAGGGAGTGCCCACGGATATAGTTATGCAGGCAGCAGCGGTGGAGAGGTGGTGATTCCGAGAGAGTGGTGTAGAGCGTGCGTATAAGAGAGCATGGACGGTACAAGTCAGCGCTGATGCTCTCACTCTTCATTGCTTGAGCCAGCAACTACGACAGTCTCGTTCGCTGTCGTTGCTGGGAGGGCAAGCTCAAGAGGGCTGGGTTTGGCGCGGTGCCAGCTCGTTTTCCACCAGTCGTTTTCGCTTGCCGGACTGAACAATTGGTGGAGAACTGGATGGTATCGCGCCAATCTCACGCCCTCTCCCTGACATGTACCAGCATCACCGAAGAACACTCCAGTCTCCATAGCGCTCAGGCGTGGACACTGCCCCTCCAACACCGATACAAGGAGCGTATAGAAAGATACTCACCGAAAGAGACAGGTGTAATCGCGCATGCTTTACAGCAAGGATCATTAGAAGCACATGAGCCGTAACATCTGCGAAAATACCCGTCGCTAAGAAACCCGTGCAAGGTATCACCTTCGTGGCGTTGAGCGAAGTAGCTCTGAAACCATGCAGATGATGACAAGTAATGAAATAAACTTGAAGGCGGTAATGAACATTTTCCGAAGAATGACATTGCTGGAAATTCAAATTTTCGACTACTCTGGGCAAACAAGGCGCTCGCAGTAGGGTAACAGTCACGAAGCACGTATGTTGCGCACATTTTTAGGCTCAACTCATGCGCAGCAAGCGCGCTACAGGCTTACGGCTAAGGCCCATGCACAGCCACAAAGCCGACGCCCGCCCACACGTCCATGGTCGTCGCGGCAATGGAAACTTGCGAATAGCCGCGAGAAGTTTTGAAGTGACGAAGTATTATTGGCTTAATTCGGCTTGATGGGGCACTGAATGCTAATTAGCTAAGCTTATATCGATAAACTTGGGAAAACTTGTAAATTCCTGTGATCAAAGTAACTCGCGCAAATAATCCCGCACTTCACAGGAGTTCACAGGTTTCACCAAAGTGAGACTTGTTATTCAACATAACTGACAAAAAGAACTAGCAAAAGTGCAGAATGCCCCTACAAGCCGAACAACGCCCCTATATTATTACAGAACAGTCGAAAGTTCATCCATACGCGCACTTTCTTCAAGATATGCTCGTAGAGCTCTTAAAATTAAAAAGATCTAGGGCTTTTAAGATTGAAGAGAACTTATTTAGGGCGCCTTCGGAGATTTCGTTCGCGTCTTTCTATACTGGTAAGTCTAACAGCATTCATAATATCTCTAATCTCGTTACCAACAAGCTACATTAGCGAAATGGTCCTTTAGGTCCTCACCTGTGCTGTTTCAATTCGTTGATTTTTTTGAGGAGATTGTTCATTTCCTCCAAATGCTCCTTTTGAGGCTGTCCCGAATTAGCACTTGATTGAGAGTTACGCAACTTATTAAGACGACGTTGAGCCTCCGTAAGTTCAGGATTTTTCAAATTTGCGTACGCGATGGGGCTGAAATAGCGAGACAAAATTATTATAACACTCAACGAAAAATACATAACTTAAAATTGAACGCACGGTGATGCCTTATGTTCTATTGCATAATATGGAAACTCAGCTGTCGGTCTCTTTATGCTGTCTATTCGAATGGTAGAAGGCCTCTGCAAAAGATAATAGAAAATAACCCATGAACTAAAAAAACCCAGTGATCTACCATACCTTTCTAGGGTTCGTCGCCAGTTGGAATTTCTTTGCTGCTAAAGCTTTCGCGATTTCGGATTCTGTGCAGGATGCGAGCGTATCTGCCTCCTTTTCGCTCACAATTGGAACAAATGAGTCACACAAGTATCGAATCACAATGCTCATCGGCAGCAATCGTTGAACACCCTCTGCATATACTCTTGATAAACTATTCTGGTGGGAACAGGGAGAGGGCAGAAAACATATTGCTCATAGAGTACACCATCAGCTCAAATGAGTGAACAGATAAGTATCTACTTCGGACGAGTGGGCGGGTTAGGAGCATTACCACGCAGTCGCGACATTTCGCGGGCCAGCAGGATGTTTCCTAGCTAGCTGACCGGACGGTCACATACACAGAGAAATCTTGGCGACCTGAGAGACGCAGACGCAGGGAAAGTCTACGTGCCCCCTCACTGCTACGTTGAGTGAAATGGATCTTGGTGAGAATGCTGCCTACGTCATCTCTATACGCTAAAATGATAAGTGATGGGTCTGTAAACTCCCTAACACCCACATTTCGAATTTCCTTATCAAATTTGTCATTTTCAGAATCCACTGAACTCTCGACTGCTTGGGATCAGAGTGACCGACGGTTTTTTAAAAAAAAACAAAAAAAAGGGGAGGTCACGAGCAAAAAAATCATGAACACAGCTAGAGATCTTCGAAGGCTTGGTCTCTCGTCACTGAAGTCTTCCCCCCCCCCATCAGCACAACTTCTTTGGAAGTCTATAACTTGTATAGACTAGCGCAGTACGGCCTGGTTGGGGCACAAAATGATACTCAGCTAAGCTTGTACAGGCAACCTTGTGAAGATCTGTGACTGTGTGACTTCGTGTAACCGTGGAGCTTCTCTCGAACCATTTCGCGACTTCACTCGAACTAACAGTTCTTACCAAAATGAGACCTTTTGGTGGACATGAATTAACAAAATATACTAGTGGAATTGCAGAATGCCCCTCCAAGACGAACATCGCTGTATGTACAACTATAGATACACTATGACCCACCAAATTACAACTTAAGGAGAACAGGGGGATATAGTACCCCCTGTACTGCGCAGAAAACTGAGTGCGGAGCAGCGAGTGCACACAGCACCGCTAGTTTTCGTCTAGGTAGCACCTGGGCAATAGGCTAATAAACACGGGTACCTAAATCGGCATAAGGTACGAACCTTGCATGTGCATTCACAGAACCAACAATTTCACGGACAGTTATCGTGAGGACTGTATCCCGCCTGTTCTCCGAAACCTATACTCTTGTCTATTACTCGACTCCACACTGAGAATCACACAGCTGCTTCAAACTTAAGTAAATACAGATTATCTTCTAGGACCCTCGAGGATAGTAAACGGCTTCACATTCTCGTGGAGGTGGAGAGAGTGGTGGAGTGGCTGCTCCAATTCATAGAGTGCTTTAAGAACACTTCCCCTGAGTCCTCCTCGTACCCCATACGACGCAAAGCTGCTGCGCGCCATGAGCAACGGGTCTCTCTGCCCCTCCCTCTGCAAATGAAGAGGAATGAACAACCTCGTTCACAGATGAATCGCGGCATAACATGATATATTGGGCAACCATCGGTGACTCCAAATGGGCGCACTGACTCATCATACAATTCCAGTAGGTCAACGAAAAGGTACTGATGGAACATGTCTAACTCCTCGACGGTGAAACACTGAAACATCAAAGCTATAGTACTTCTTGAAAGTTACAGAACTTGTCCTTATGCGGACTGCTTACGTTGATCATGGGCGCTTTTTCAAAATGAAATTCATATTCATTGATATAGCGTGAAACCGGCATCAGGGGAAGAACCGCAGGTAATTCTCGGTGAAAGAAAACCTGGAAGGATGTCGATATGCAGAAAAAAAACATGTAATAGGAACCTACGCGAGTCGTCTGAAAGGGGCTATATCAGGAGAAAAAAAAACATGAAATGAAAATTAGACAGAACTTTAAGAGAAGGTTATTTGACTCTTGACTAGACTGCAACCCCCTTAAGCAACGCCAAAAGCAGTGCAGTAAACACAGCAAATCCAAGTTTGAGACTCAAAATGGATAATATAGCTGCTTCTATACATTAGATCCCCCGACCCCGAAACACACTGGAAAGCGACCCCTTTGATCAAAATCGGGCCCTGTTCGGCTTGGAAGAGGCATTTTACACTTTCGCTAGTTCCGTTTGTTAGTTCATGTTTAACAATAGGTCTCAATTCGGGCAGACCTGTAAACTCCTGTGAAGCTGTCAATTGATAGGAGTGAGCTACTTTGCTAGCAGGAATTTACGGGTGTTCAAGGTGGCCTTTGAAAGCTTAGTTCAGTACCATTTAATGCCCCCACCAAGTCGTACTACCCAGTGTTGTTTATTAATAAGTCAGTGTTCTCAAACTGGTATGGTTATCGCGGCGATATACAGAGGGTGCAAAAAAAAATTCATTTTCGGCCGAGCCACATATCAACGAAGTTTTCGCAGCCCAGACAGGGGAAGTGGATATGAGTACCAGGTGGAAGATACCCAAGATCTTCCTCTATAAGCTGGAGCAGGCTGCCGCCAATCGCCTTCATGTACGCCAAAATATGAAGTCATCTCCAGTCGCGGCCTGACTGGAGAACACCTTTGGAATTCACGTCGCCTCCAAACAGCTGCGAAACTTCTTGAATGAAGTCATCCACAGATAGCTACCTGGAGGTCAGTACTCTTGATCTGCAAGACCTCCCACATCGAGCCAGCTACGCCAACTGCTCGCCTTACGGTCGTTATGGACAGCATCTCACTCGTATTCTCCGAGGCGCTGAAGTTTGAGGTATGGACCGGGTACCTGGAAAGGGGAAGACCGATATTTTCTTTGTAGACCCCGACTGAGGTGAGCGCTGGTTACATCAAGTAACTCGAGAAGAATATCCTCCCTACATGTGGTCGCCCGTACCTTCTTGGAGACCTTGTGCTGCTACAGGTTTGGGTGCCACCACATGGAATCATCAAGATTATTTGGAAATCCCACCTATGTGACGAAGGAAGGCCGTTTCGTTACTGAGAAGATTAATATGAAGATGTCCTGAACTCTGAACACACTCAATCACTATTCGGGGCGAACTCCAGAGGTGGTCTTACGTGGCGGAGAAATCGACTACCGCTGATCTCAGGTACCACATCGCGGTCGCGTGCCAGAATCTCTCGATGGCGTTCGTCCAGAAGGCTGTGGCGGAGTGTCGTGATAGTACTTAATGTGCTCGGTCATTATTGGTAGCTGATATAGTGTCGGATCAGAATTGATAAGTGCTAAATTTATAGCCCTCGAAAGTCAATGAGCCAATATGACTTTTTTGGGCCCCCCCCCTGTATGTCAGACATGGATACCAGTGCTATATTACAGAAAATGTCTCAGTGGTATATGGAAAAAAAACAACGCTCTTAATAGCAGAATGACAGGTCAACAGGCACAAAACGACCATATAGGCCAGATGAAAATCTATCGAGTTAGTGACCGAGGAGGATCCTTATATGACGCGGCTACTCTCTTAGGTAAAAAGCCGATTCTAGTGAAAAGGGGCCAATAACCAAAAAACTTACTGAGAAGCCTTGGAACACATATGAGTCACCCGCATGATTAATCCGGGTACGTGTACCTTCACCTAAAGGCGCCGATGGTCTTCTAACCACTAGCACATAATGGTGAAGCTTTGAAGCGTTGCGAAAAATGGTAGCATTAAGTTAGGAGTTTAGAGAGCCAAAACACTGAGACTAGTCCCGTTCGATGCGTATGATGGTTCAGTTTCGTGAGGCTGAGTTTGCAGGCGGTGCCCAAAACCGCCTCTCCATCAGTGTTTAGGGTAACGATTGTTACTAATCATACGGAAATATCCTACCCCGAACTGTCCAGTTTCCGTATGCGCCCCCGACTGTTCAGTTGCCACATGAGGTATAGCCCGCCACCTCTACCAGCGCGGTGAATTACGAACTGAATTCTTGTCAAACCCTAGTGCTAGGGGGGGGGTGGCGAGCAGAGCAGGCTGCATCATACGTGGTTCCGTGAAGAATGGCCATAAAATCAGCAAGTACGCACTTTCGGTTGGATACATATTTGGATCGTGACTCTCCCTGCGAAAACTTGTGACGTAAGGCACCTTCTTCGCTGAAGGCGAGCATCGGCCACATTAGTCCATAGGCACCCTGAAACACAGACTTGTTCCAGTACAGTGGCCAGAGCTACAGCGAATTTGGCGCATGTCGGCGACGTGGGGAGAGCTGTGTTGTCAGTGCCTAGGTTAAAGCATCAGTCGAGCTACCAAGTGGAGGACCTGATGGAATTTTGTGAAACCATAAATGACACTCAAAGTTTTATGGAGGGCAGTTGTCTTAAGAGTACCTGTTCAACTCTTGTAAGCTGCATCCATTCACACCCTCGCCCCCTCCTCCTCCGTCTCCCCATCTACGTCGCCGAACTGCGCCAACACTATAATCCCCAATCCAGCCCCAACCACTTCAGGTCTTCATTTAAAAGCATGACATCTTCGCATAATGGCACATCCACTCCCTATACTTTCTTGTCGCGGTATAATCAAAACAAGAGGCCTTGAAAACGCACGTAAAAAACAGCAGAAATTCATGGCACTTTCAACAATATGCAGCCATACTCTTCTAATCTTAGGCCACAGCGTATTGTCGATAATTGTTCAGAAGGTTGATCGTGCAAGGAATGCGGGAGACGCGCCAGAGACCTGTAAATTGTCGCTTCCGTCGCGCGCGGCCGAAAGGGCGCGACGTCCTCATTTGCACTACCTATCGAGTGGAACATCAGCGTGGTTCATTGAGTCAAGAAATGGTAGACTTGGTGCATATTTTAGTCATTATGATATTATTCCAATCAATACCACCTAAAAAGCCGTTGTCATTTAACGGCTGCGACGTCGCACGACGAGCCACTGGCGCGGCAAAATTACGATCTCTTGCCTATTTTTTTTTTTTTTTTCTTTTTTGTTTTTTTTTTTTTTTTTATTTTTTTTACCAAGATATTTATCCTGGGCGCACTTTGAACACATGAACACGAAGACCATAATCATTCTGCATGAGAGCGCTTGTGCCAGCGCTAAACAAATGAACGTTGCTCGTAGGGTCCTAACGATCCCTGTTAGAGAATTTCCAGCCAAATCTGTATATGGGCTAAGTTTCAACCAAGTGCTCTGGCATAAGTTTGAAGCTGCCGGCGACCGCAAAGGGTCAACAGGCCGGAAGCAGACCTCCCGCTGCCGTTTTTTCAGGAGATATGAGCTACGCTGTCTAGTATTCATTTTTTCCACATCACTCATTCCCGAGTCATAGTCTCCTCCATCGTCATCATCAGTGTCACTATCATCGCTCACATCAGAAAGGTCAGTATCAGAGTTGTCGTCAGAATCAGAATTACTCTCTTCAGACGACGAGCTTACGGAGGATTCAGAAGCACTCCTTTCAGAATTTTTGGCACCTGAAATCGGCACCTCACGTAATCATGTTGAAGTAAAAACGGGAAAGCAGCTTGGGGCTGAGGCAGCTGGGGCGGATGTGCGACACAGCGAGATATATGCGTCCTCTGGAGTTCTTGCGTGTCGTTCGAGGCTGAGTTTTCAAGGAAGAGCTAGCTATCTTGGCTCAGAGGCAGCCCTGGTTAGTAACCTTGTTCCGCAGATGATGGGGGCTTTCATTGATTGCGCGACGCCGAGCCACTTTCTCCATCAGTTGTCTGAAGCGGAGTTGCGAACTAGACTGTAAGCTTTGTCGCACCACCGCATGCCCCTAACTCGCCTACTACCTTATTCACAGCAGCTTTTCAAATGAAAAATAAGGGTGTGTATGATGCTAAGATGCGACACTGCGGAACTGAGGCTGCGTGGTAGCGCGCCGAAGTGCTACTTTCTCTTCCCTAGGCTCAGCCTCAAAGGAGAGCAGGCGACCAGAGTCCGCGTCCGCACGGCTTCGCCCCAAGGTGCACAGCAGCGGACACAACCCCGCCTCCGCGCAGCACACCTCAACTTCAACAGTGCCAAAAGGTTTCTAAAACTTACATCTCCAACATGAATGGACTAGAATCTTTTCAACCGGTTCTAATTTAGTACGCTCCTTTCGCATCTGTTGAATACTTCTGAGTAACGATCGAAAAGTCTCCAAAACTGGAGCGTACTCGGAAGTTGATCGCACTTCACCGGGCTTTGATCGTGACTAAATCAGAGAATACTTCTAATCCAGCCGCATTTAATTTTTAATAATTACCGATTTTAGTACATTAATCTCCTCATAGTAAAAACACCTATGGTGGAACTGAATGTATAGTGTAGTTCGCTGCGGACGGTTGGGCGTGTCAGGCGGGATGAGTTTGGCGCGGTGCCAAACCCGTTCTCCACCAGTTGTTAAAGCGAGCAAATGATATGACTGTATCATATCGTTCGTATTTTTTCTACCACTTTTTGTCGCATGCGCGCTTCAACAAGAAGGCAGAGAACGGCTTTGACGGGGTGACACACTCATACTGCCTGACACGCCCAACCGTCCGCAGCGAACTGGAGTGTATTAAGCACGTACTGTTACATACCTTATGGTAATCCGAACAAGGTACAGGCTCAACGTACTGTGTTTGTTCTGGTAGTTTCACAGTGGCTGGATCGATTCTAACATACTGAAAACATACTTGTGAACCCTACTCATTTTAAAGACCCATTTCTGAGAAATAAACCACCTCTTCATCCATGAGCCTTCTGAAGGTTTCTTGATCAAGGGCAAGACCTTCACCTATAATAAGGACTCGTGGAAAATTCAGAGTTACAGCACAAAAGGTCTCGCTTGCTCGATGAAGGTGTGTCAGGCGGGACGGCGCCAAACCGATTCAGCCTGACACCCCTTCACCCCCAGCGAACAAGCTCAAAAAAGCATAAACGAACCCAGCATAAACAAGAAACTAAGGAACTAACCAATTTCTTCGTCTCTGTCATCCTCTTCGCTCTCTAATACTTCGCCCTCTTCTAGCTCACTGGTGTCATCGGATATGACGATGTTATCCACATCCGAGAACTGTAAATCTGAGACCGAGGAGATAGTCTCGTCATCGCTCTGAAAGCCATCGATTATCTGCTTCGCAACTCATTATAAGTGATGGGTCGCCGACACGAAAGCAGGGTCGCCAGAGCGATAGAGGACCATCCCGTTATCTAACGAAACGTTCAAAATGTGCGGTGCAAAAGGTTGTTTTCAAGTAGAGAAAGCAAAAAAATTGAAGTTCCGGTATGCCACATACCACAAGTTCAGTACCTTATGCAAGAGAGCAGACACCAAAGTTGCCGCTTCAAACCTCGCTGAGGCGAGACACAACTCCTGCTGCCGTGTGCCTTTCCATAAAACGTATTATTACTTCGACTTAAAAGCATTTTAGGCGGGGTCCAATTCCAACTAGACCGAGCACCTTTTTTCTAGCTCTGTTCGCCGTGTCCCTCTCGGACAAGCAGATCGGATAGGAAAAAAGGTTGTTATTTGAGTTTGATCCCCGCCCGCGCCCTGCTGAACTACTCTAAAATGATATTCGTTGATAAGGATAGTGTGCGCGTTTCGGATTTGAAAATGGACTTACCAACCAGTGACTACCCACTCCCTCTTGACTGACGGACACATCATTCTGGCAGCAGCCAAGCGTTTTCCTACGAAACTAAACCTTCCTAGTGAAAGGTCCCACCCCTCCCCACCATCAGCTTTGCTAGGTTGTGAACCTGTCTAGAACGCCTTATCGGTGCCGTATCTGGGCGGTGCTCGGCTTGAAAAGACATTTTGCACCTCCGCTAGTTTTTGCTGCTGTTCCAGTTTAATTACAAGGAACACTTTGGTGCCTGTAGACCCTTGTTGAGCCTAAACGAGGCTCGTAGTACAGCTTAACAGGAATTTAGAGGTCTACACATCGCCAACGATTTGTGGGAACCAGCATGTCCCCACCAACCGATCTGCTTTAAACCAGCGGAGATATTTGGATGCGTATCACAAGCAAACTATCGAAGGCTCTGCAACAGCTGTGATAGTTGTTCTAGAGGATATTTGACATTAAAAGAAAAGACTTTTCATCAAAAAAATGAGCTCTAAAAACTGCACTCACCTCAGAACCAGAACCATCTTCGTCAAGTTCTCCTCCAGAAAAGCTTCTATCTAACTTTTCACGCATTTCATCCTCTTAATATACAGAACATGGATGTGAAAACAACAAAGGAGACGAATTCTGAAACGATCTCAGTCGTATTTGAATTAGCGCTGGAGCGCGATATTGACATTGTAGCGCGACATTTGAATCAGGGCAGCGACCCGACAAAACTTTTCATTCAGCACGATCCACCTTGCGCCTCTGATCCACTTATGGCCTATTTGGACGTTAAATCCATGCTCATCGAACTAATTAAGTTTCTGTGCGTACGCTAAGTTATAAAAAAGAAGTCCACGACCTAGGGAAGGGAAATTCTTTCTAATTGCTCTTCCTAGGTCGCGGATCGAAAGTCGAATTCTACTCGAAAGAGATCGTGACCAGGGGAATTGAAGAAAGGAGGTGGAATCCCTAGTCTTTCTCCAAAATTACCCGTACCTTGCAGCCTATTACGAATCCTTTAGGAAACCAGTATCACTCACTAGCGCTGTGCCCTGTTTACTTGGTGGTATGGTGGGACGGTAGAGGGGGACCACTCGACTTTCAGTTTTT